CTGATCACATCACCCACTTTTTTGATCCCAATCTCTTAGGATGAAGACAAAAAAACCCACCTAAAGTCCTCCAGACCCTGCATGGTCTGGTCCCTGTCTGCCTTTCAATCAGCACCATGAACCCCGGCCTTTCAGAAAGCATCCTCTTGCCAGAGCATGGGCTGTTCCCTCTGCCTGGAATGCTCCCTTTCCCACCCTTTCAAAGCTTAGCTCAGGCTTCATTTCCTCAGGAAAGCCACCCCCCACCAGGCCAGGGGGCTGGTCCTCAGCTGCCAGAGCACTGTGCATCTTGCCTTTTTAACACTTACCCCTGTCTACAGTTACACATTTATTCATGTCATTATTTCATCCTGTCGGGGAGCTCCACCTTCACTCTGCTTGCAGAGCAGAGTCAGCCAACAAAGCTTTGGACATTGCTTGAACCTGGAGCAATTGTCTTTTCTCTTTTCCATTCAGTCCTCCCAATGAAGAAGGACAAATTTTTCCTTTCTCTGCATTCCTTTGCTCAAAGACCAACTTTTCCTCCCCAAAAGCCTCATCAACCATGCAGAGCTGTCTGCCGGGTTTGCTTGATTCTTAAATTCAAAATTTACTTATAGGACAATAAAAAGCATGAACGCTGTTAAGGAAATGAAAAGACAAGACAAACTGGGAGAAAATATTTGCAAAGCACGTATATATTAAAAGAATTGGGCCTAAGATATATAAAGAGCTCTTAAAAATGAATAAGATGGGACTTCCCTGGTGGCACAGTGGTTGAGAATCCGCCTGCCAATGCAGGGGACACGGGTTCAAGCCCTGGTCCGGGAAGATCCCACATGCTGTGGAGCAGCTAAGCCCAGGCGCCACAGCTATGGAGCCTGTGCTCTGCAGCCCACAAGCTCACAGCTACTGAGCCCACATGCCACAACTAAAGCCCGCGTGCGCCTAGAGCCTGTGCTCTGCAACAAGAGGAGCCCCCACTCTCTGCAACTAGAGAAAGCCTGCACGCAGCAATGAAGACCCAACGCAGCCAAAGTTAAAAATAAATAAATAAATAAAGTTATTTAAAAAAAAAAAAAAATGAATAAGAAGATTTAAAAAAACAATAAGAATGAGCAAAAGATTTGGACACATGACCAAAGAAGATGTACAGTGGGCAAATAACACAAAAAAGATGTTCAATATCATTAGTCATTAGGGAAATGCAAATTAAAGCCACAAGGGAAACTATACACCTACTAGAATGACTAAATTTGAAAGGACTAACAATACCAGATGTTGGTGAGGATGTGGAGCTTCTAGAAATCTCACACATTCTTGGCAGGAATGCAAATGGTACAGCAATTTCGGAAAACAGTTTGGCAGTTTTGATAAAGTTACCATACAACTCAGCAATCTCACTGCTAGGTATCTACCCAAAAGAAAGGAAAACAGACATACATTCACACACAAAGACTTGTAGGCAAATGTTTACAGTAGTTTTATTAATAATACCCCCAAACTGGAAACAACCCAATGTCCATAAACTGGGGAATTAATAAACAAATTGTGCTTTATCCATACAATGGAATGCCACTCATCAATAAAAAAGAAATGAATTACTGATACATGCAAATCATGAATGAAAAGCATAATGCTAAGTGGACAAAGCCAGATACAGAAGGTTATATACATATGAAAAAGTTTTGTGTTTCAGATGCTAGAAAGACCTCCAAACAGCTCACAAGATCCCACTCTGAGAGACACAGGGTCTGGACACCAAGGAGGGGAAGCAGCGTAGGGTTGTGGTGGTGTGATGTATTGGGAGATTGGGACTGACATATATACACTAATATGTATAAAATAGATAGCTAATAAGAACCTGCTGTATAAAAAAATAAAATTCAAAAAAAAAAAAAAAAAAAAAGAGAGACTCGGGGTCTGATGAGGGGACTAAGACTCAGGTTTCCCATATTTAGTTCCTCCAGAGAGGATTTCATCTGTATGACACTGGGGAAAACTGTAGGGAAGATCAGTGGTTTCTGGGACTGAAAGTGGGAAGAGATTGACTGCATAGGCGCATGAGAGAAATTTGGGGAGTGTTGAAAATCTTCTACATCTTGATTTTGGTATTGGTTACACGAATGCATACGTTTGTCAAAATTTATCAGACCATACTCTTAAAAAAAGAGTTAAAACATTTTTTTAAACCATTTAAAAAAATTGAAGTATAGTTAATTTACAATGTTGTGTTAGCTTCAGGTGTACAGCAAAGTGACTCAGATATATATATATATATATATATATATATATACACACACACATATATATACACATATATATATATATTCCTTTCCAGACTCTGTTCCATTATAGGTTATTACAAGGCATTGAACATAGTTCCCTGTGCTATACAGTAGGTCCTTGTTATCTATTTTATACATAGTAGTGTGTATATGTTAATCCCAAACTCCTAGTTTATCTCCCCCAAGAGTGAGTTTTATTTTATATAAATTATACCCCAATAAAACTGACTTTAAAACTTACTTGAGGGGCTTCCCTTTTGGCGCAGTGGTTAAGAATCCGCCTGCCGATGCAGGGGACACGGGTTCGAGCCCTGGTCTGGGAAGATCCCACATGCCACGAAGCAACTAAGTCTGTGTGCCACAACTACCGAGCCTGTGCTCTAGAGCCTGTGAGACACAACTACTGAGCCCATGTGCCGCAACTACTGAAGCCCGCGCTCCTAGAGCCCATGCTCTGCAACAAGAGAAGCCACTGCATGAGAAGCCCGTGCACCGCAACGAAGAGTAGCCCTCGATTACCGCAACTAGAGAGAAAGCCCGTGCACAGCAACAAAGACCCAACGCAGCCAAAAATAAGTAAATTTAAAAATAAATAAATTTATATTAAAAAAAACTTACTTGAAACTCAACAATAAAAAATAATTTAATTTAAAAATGGGCAAAGGACTTGAATAGATATTTCTCCAAAGAAGATATACAAATGGATAACAAGCATGTGAAAAGATCCTCAGCGTCACTAACCATTAGGAAAATGCAAATCAAAACCACAATGAGATGTCACCTCATACCCATTCAGATGGTTACTATTTAAAAAAGAAAGAAAAACCAGAAAATAACAACTGTTGGTGAAGATGTGGAGAAATTGGAACCCTTGGGCACTGTTAGTGTGAATGTAAAATGGTGCAGTTGCTATGGAAAACAGTATGGCAGTTCTTCAAAAAATTAGAATTACCAGATGATTCAGCAGTTCCATTTATGGATATATATATATGTAAAAGAATTGAAAGCTGGGTCTTGAAGAGGTATTTATACACCCATGTCCATAGCAGCATTATTCACAAAAGCCAAAAGATGGAAGCAACCCACATGTTCATCGATGAATGAATGGATAAACAAATTGTGGTATATACATACAAAGGAGTATTATTCAGCCTTAAAAAAGGAAACTCTGACATATGCTACAAAATGAACATTATGGTAGGTGAAATGAGCCAATCACAAAAAGACAAATACTGTACATGAGGTATCTAGACTAGTCAAACGCATGGAAACAGAAAGTAGAATGGTGGTTGCCAGGGGCAGGCGCGGGGAGGTAGAGGGTGGATGAACTGTTGTTGACCAAGTTTCAGTTTTGCAAGATGAAAAAGTTCTGGAGATTGGTGCACAACAGTGTGAAATGTAAATATATTTAACACCACTGAACTGTACACTTAAAAATAGGTAAGACGGTAAATTTTATGTTATGTGTATTTGACCACAATTAAAAAAAACCTTAGAGTACTTTAGGAATATATATATATATTTTCTACATACAAAAAAGCCAAGATAGGGAATATATGAAATAAAAAGAGAAGACCTTCTCTGTTCCTCTTTTTCTCCCTAGTACATACTCTCATTCCCATTTCCGGCTGAGAATCATACATTCAAACATACAGCTTTAAAATGTATGTAAATGGAATGAAACTATATATATGGTCATGTAATCTGCCTTTTCCATAGTGTCCACCTCATTTTAGAGATTTTCTATGTCAGTATACAGCCAGGGACCTCATTCTTGCTAACCACCACATTGCATTTCACAGCAGGGATGTGCATAATCTATCTAAGCATTTTTCTCTGGATGGACAGTTGCATCATTTCCATTTTTCCCTTCTACAGACAAAGCTGCAGTAAACATCCTTGTACATCCCTGGGGGCTTGTAAGAGTCTCCCTGTGGGTCAGAGGCCTACAAATGCTCTGCTGAAGGAATGTTTACCTGAAATATTTCAGATATTGCCAAACTGTCCTCCAAAATGTCTGCACTAAGATCACCCCTTAGCACTGTATGAGGTTGCCTTTGTCTTCACACTCTCAACAGATTATCAATTTTAAAAATATTTCCTGCTGTGCTTTCAGAGGCCTCCAAAACACCCCAGCCACGCCGCCCACTTTTTCCACTGACAGTGGGGACCAGCTAGGTTGTGTTTCTGTTGTCTGTCCCTCTAGGAATACCCTCCCTTCCTGTCCCTTCACTTCCCCTCCACTTTGCCTTCCAGGTGGGCTGCAGCTCCCCCTCCTCAGCAGTCTTCCTGGATGCCCCTGCCTCACCTTCTCCCTGGAGGCCTCCATGTAGTTAAGGCTTACCTAACTGCACTTTCCACTGCTTCTTCAACAGCTCCTGTTTCTTTATCTAGAGCTTCTCAGCTTTTCCCACTAAAAAATCCCTAACAGCAGGAGAGAGTGAATGCAGAACCCAGAATGTCTGGGGAGGTCAATTGCAAGTGGCTATAGGGAGAGGAAAATTTCTTTCAAGTCCCTTGTTTATCTTAAAATTCTAGTTTTATATTAAAAGTGTTTTAATTCTTGTCTCACCCCATAAAACTGGCGCTCCAGGAGATGCCCCACATTTATCCCATAGTTTTGTGAAGTCCCTGGCACGCCTCTGTAAAGCCCAGGGAGAAAAATGCAGTCTGAATCTGACCTTCCTCACTAGTCCCAAAGCTCTCCAGAAAGGGACTCAGATGTACACCTACCTGTCGGGTAAGAAGTTCAGTAAATCCACTCCCTTGGTGTTTGGTGCACTTCCGTCTCTTTGACCTGAATCCTGGGGAGGCCAGGGAATTGCAAAGCAACTTGGTGCGTTCACACTCCCGTCGCTTAGGCGCGTTGGACGGCAGGTGGCGCCCGGGTCCTCCTCAGCGCCGAGCTTGCCCCACTCCCAGCACCAGCTCAGGGGAAGGGGCAGCGGAGCGGTCTAAAGAACTGTTTCCCCGTCTCTGCACGTACAGAGGGAGGAAGGCCGGCTCTGGGAGGCAAGGAGAGGCCCCGGAAGGCTTCATTTCTGCTGCGCGCAGACGGAGACGCGGCGGCGGCGGCGGCCGGCTCCGGGCGCCCGCAGGAGAGCCGTGCGCACCTGGGCGTGCACTGCGCCCCCGCCCGGAATGGCGAAGGTAGCTTCCGGCAGTTGCAGAAAACACAGAAACCGAACGCCAAATGTTTATGAGCCTGCAAGAGGAGGAAATTGAAACTTCCTGGTGTGACTGGAAAGGCATGAAAACAGCTGCTGTTTGGTTTCTGGAAACCGTCTCTCCGAGCTTGTTACAGCATCGCCCTTTTACCCCCTGGCCTAGCTTCTTCCTCGCTGGAGGCAGGGGTGGGGAGGTCGACAATCTGGGGCAGAAGGGTCAGATGAGAGGTTCCCTTTCTCTGAAGCCACCTGGGCTTAAGGCAGGTGGCAGAAAAAGTCAGTGACTAGGGGAGAGAGGAATGGCTCTTCCAACTCAGTGTTTACCCAAGTGGGTCCCCGAAGACAGTAGACCCTCTAGGGGATCTGGAGGGGAGTAAAATCTGATCCTTTTCCTGATGGGGTGCAGGTTAAAGTACAGTGCTTCTTAACATGTTGTCTACAGACCACCTAGGTCATTTGCTAAAAATGCAGTTTGCGGAGCTTTACTAAATCAGATGGAGGAGGCCAGAGGTGGTAGTGCTGAGTCTGTGTTTCTAATAAGCCCTTGAGTAGCTCTTCTACTCTCTGAGTCAGAGAACCACAGCCCCAGCTCTGTGTACTAAAAGCTGGCAGCTCAGATACAAGAACCAGCCTCTGAGTGCCCATGTCCTTCCAAACTGGGCTAGCTCTAGTCCCACCGGTCAGAGGGTGCAAATTTGGTCATACGAATAAGTATAATCAATATTTCTGCCTAGTAAACCCCCATCTATCAAGCCTCAGGCCCTCTGAGTCTCCCCCAATATTTCTGGAGCCCCTGTGAGTTCCTTTTCTTCCCCCACCTCCATAATAACTGCTTTCCGCAAGTTGCATGAAAGAGTAGCCGCAAGTGTGACCAGTGCGGCTCCTTCACCTGGTGCTTCCAGAGCTCACCCTCTCCTGTGGGGTTAAGTCCCCACCCGCCCAAAGCTGCAAACCCTCAAGGCCAGATGGAGGTGTCTTCCCTTTAGGTCTCACAGCACCCAAACCAAGCTTTGCTCCAAACAGAATGCTTCCGTTTCTAACTCAGGATCAGATTTTGTCATCAGGGCCCAGAGGTAGTGCTGCTTGGGCTCCCAGTGTCCCAAAGTTCTTTGAGGAAAGAGCTTCTTCAGAGATTAAAAGTGGTGTACTGGTAAACTGCTTTCCAAAAAAGAAAAATCAAAGCCCTGATTTGTCACGTTTACCGATTCCTGTGGTATAAATATTCCCATCACTGCAGATTTTAAGCAAAGTTGGAAAGAGGTGCTCATCATCAGTCTCACAGCTGGGAAAAGGCGGCACTGGCACAACACTCCCTGAGGGCTGGCCAGGGACCAGATACCAAAACATCATTCATTCATTCAACAACTATTTACTGAGTGCCTGCTATATGCCAGTTGCTATTCTCTGATCTGGGGATCCGGAAGTAAATACAAGGGATCAAGCTCTTGCCCAGGTAGAGTTCAGCTTCTAGTAGAGGAGACAGCCCATAAATAAATAAGTAAACAAACAGGCCAGCTCTTGATAAGTGCTATAAAATAAGGAAAGCCAGGTAAGGAGCTACAGCGATGGGTGATCTATTTTACAACCAGTGATCAGCAAAGGCCTCGTTGAGGTGGTGACATCTGAGTTGAGTCCCAAAGGGGTGAAAACTGTAAATATCTGGAGTAGAACAGGCAGAGGGAACAGCAATGGCAGACCCTAAGAAAGGCGTATCCCTGGTGTGTTCATCAAGGGGGCCAGTGTGTTTCTAGAGCAGAGGGAGGGGAGAGTGGGAGGAGAAATGGGGGAGCAGAGCATTACATGCAATGTGGATTTCTTGTAGTGGGAACTCATTGGAGTGTTTGAGCAGGAGCATGGTCTCATTTACTTTTCAAACGGGCCATTCTTGCCGCTGGGGAGGGTGGTACAGATGGACAGTTTTCTAAGGGGGAAGCAGGGAGTTGAGTTGGGAGGCAACTGCTGGAGAAGGTGATGGTGGAGGTGGTGAGAAGTGGATGGATTCCAGATACGTTTTGCAAAAGAGGCCATCAAGCCTATTGATGGTTGATGTGGGGTTTGAGATCCACAGGGAAGTCAAAGAGACTCTGGGATATTTGGTTTGTGTAATCAGGTGAATGGTGATACAGTTACTGGGATTCGGGAGGAACCAAGAGGTCAGCTGGGAGCATGGGAAGCTTGAGCTGCCTATGAAAGGCCTGGGCTGGTGACATGATTTGGGAGTCATCACGGTGTGGATAGACTTTAACGCCACGGGAGTGGATAAAGTCACCAGGGAGGGAAGAGGAAGATCCAAGGATGGAGCAGTGGGGACCTTCAACACCGAGAAGATGGGAAGATGAGAAGGCTCTCTGCTGAGAAGGAGTAGTCAGCGAGCTTGGAAACTGCAAAAGCAGTGCTTAAAAGTACAGAGGAGCCTGATCAGTTGTGCTAAATGCTGCTGAGAGGTGCGGGAAGATGAGGACTGAGAAAAGGCTTGGTTTTGGCAGCATCGAGGCCCTTCATGACAGGCGTGGTTCCCAGGAAGTGGCGGGGATGAAAGCCTGTTTACAAAGGATGGGAGAGGAAACGGGGGAGAGCAAGTGAAGACATGGAGTGTAAACACGAAGGGGGGTTCTTTCAAGGGAAATAAAGTAGGTCGGGAGAGGGAGAGCGGTGGAGACCAGTGATGCTGGGAAAAAGAGAGCATTGTCTCTCTGTTCCCTGATGCCCACCTACAAAACTGCCCTTGTAGACTCCTTTGATTTCCTGCATGTCAATTCATGCCCAGCAGATGCTGGGGAAGGCCCCTGGGCCACCGGCGCAGGAGGCACAGTCGGACTGTGAATTCCAGTTTCCATTCAGCTGGCACTCCTGCCACATCCCCCTCGCCGAGGCAGAGAGGCTGGCTGGCTCTGTCTACTCACCACTGTATCCTAAGTGTGCCTGGCTTGGAGGAGGCCTCAGCAATATGTGGCAAATGGTTGAAAGAACACCGGTCCCTCAGAGACCTTAGGGACAATGCTCAAGGACAGCTGTGCTGGAATAGCTGGGGCTTGAACCTTGCAGTGGGGAAGATCCAGTGCCTTCTGACATCTCCGTGTAGGTGATTTCAAGTGGGGGGCAGGTGAGGGGGAGAATCCTGCTCAGGTGTTTCCTTGGGTGCATCACAGCCAGGCGCTGGCCAGCCTCTCGGGCTCTCTGGGGCAGCAGAGTGTTCCGGTTGGGAAGGGGAAGCCCTGCTGACTCTGCTGTGTCAGGACAGCCACCAGTCTCTGCCCTGGGAGCCCCTTCCTGTGAAACCTGCTGGCTTGTCCTGGGGTCAGCTAGGGAGGGATGGAAGGAGGCAGCTTCAACCCTGATGCTGCAGCAGGTGCTTCCTCATCAATCCCTGCTTGGCGGACGCTCATAAGGGATGGTCTTGAGCTAGATTAGCTGTGTGGACTGGATTCCTCAGCCAGGTGTGGAGTCAGCGAGCTTCATCCTGACGTGTATCACGCATGCGGAGCATCTAAGTGGCTGGATTCACCCTTTGGATGGGGATTGATTGGACATTTGTGTTGTGAGTGACTGGGTGATATTTGTGATTTTCACTCATGTTTCTGCCCCACGCCTTTCTGCCCTTTCCCTTCATTCAAGCAGACAGTAGGCTTTGTGCTTCATTCCTTCCAGTGAGGCATGGATGGCGGAAGCAGGAGAAGCTTGCAAGGTTTCCCGGCTTTTGTTTTCTAAAAGCTCAAGACCAGAGACGGGCAGACAGAGTCAGAGGGAAGGAGTAGGGAGCTTGGAGAAGCAGGAAGGTGAGAGGTGCTTCCTTCAACATACAAAGAAGGTTGTTCCAGGTAAGGGGCGTGTAGAGCAAAGTCAGAGGGGCTGCTCAATTCAAATTCTGGCTTTGCTACCTGGAAACCACCTAATCTTGGACTGGTTACTTAAACTACTCTAAGCCTAAAAATGAGACAGTAATAATGTCTACCTCACTGATGTGTTCTAACATTTTGGCTTTAGTCCCAGGGCTCTTGGGATACCTGTTAAGAACTGAATCGTGTACTCCCCGCTGCTGCCCGCCCCCCTCCGCCAGGTTCATATATTGAAGTCCTAACCCCCACTACTTCAGAATGTGACTGTATATGGAGATAGGGTCATTAAAGAGGTCAGCAATATAAAATGAGGTCATTAGAGTGGACCCTAATCCAATATGACTGGTGTCCTCAGAAGAAGAGGACATTTGGACACAGACAGGAACAGAGGAAAGACTGTGTGAGGACACAGGGAGAAGACAGCCATCTACAAGCTGAGAGGAGAGGCCGCAGAAGAAATCAACCCTGCTGACATCTTGATCTGACTTCTGGCTTCCAGAACGATGAGAATACAATTTATACACACACCCAGGACTATTATTCAGCCTTGAAAGAGAAGGAAATCCGTTTGCAACCGTATGGATGAACCTGGAGGACATTATGCTAAGTGACATAAGCCAGACACAGAAGACAAATACTGTATGATCTCACTTACATATGGAATCTAAAAACATTGAACTTACAAAAACAAAGAGTAGAATGGTAGTTGCCAGGGGCTGGGAGGTGTGGGAAATGGGGAGATGTTGGTCGAAGGATACAAAGTTTCAGTTATGCGGGATGAATAAGTTCTGGAGATCTGATGTACACCGTGGTGACTATAGTTAATAATACTGTCTCGTATACTTGAAATTTGCTAAGAGAGTGTTCTTGCCACACACACAAAAAGGTAACATGTGAGGCGATAGATACGTTAATTAGCTTGATTGTGGCAAGCATGTCACAGTGTATGCTTATATCAAAACATCATG